CAAAGGAGGAGGCTGCAATGCTTGGTAAGAAATGTACGCATTATCCTGCCCAAGTAATTGTAACCCCTCTGTACAGTATGTTCACAAATAAAAAATAAATAAATAAATTAAAAAAAAAGAAAGTGGAAAAAAAGAAAAAAAAGACTACTAGGGCTAGAGATAAAATGAAAGCATTCAAATGAATGCATCCCCATAAACCAGTAAGAGATATCTAACTGTGCTTCATGCCTCCAGAATCAAGCCTTTGGTATTCTGCAAATGAGCCCATCCTCCCCTTTTTACTTGATTATGGGCACATCCCCACCTATTTTCTCATGATGGATACTAAATCAATTGTCCATCAAAACCCCATATTCCCACCATGTCCCCATACTAATTAATTGAGGACTCACTTGTACTTAGATCAAACAATATGAGTAATACACAATTGAAAAAACAACACAAACATAAAAGAAAAGAACCAAATAAAAGCAAAATTCATCCTGAAGGTAACTAAAGAAAGTAAAAGTATGTTTCTTTTTAAAGAAACATTCTTAAAAAAATCATTAGTGTTATGCTGAGAGAAGCTTCATTGAATAGAGAATCATACAAAAAGTAGAATTTGTTATGAAAAATAAAGAGCAGTCAGAAAAAAAGTATTCCTAGAAATTAAAAATACAGTTTTTGCCAAGTGCCAGTGGCTCATGCCAGTAATAGACTGAGATCAGGAGGATTGGGGTTTGAGGCTAGCTAGCCTGGCCAGAAATGTTCACAATATTTCCATCTTCATGGAAGGAGATGGATGTGGTGGTGCACACCTCATTTCATTACAGTGGAAAGCAAAATATAGGATGCAGTCTAAGTGTGCACCTGGGCAGGAAACAAGATGCTGTCTCAAAAATAATCAGTGCAAAAAAGAGCTGGAAATGTGACTCAGTGATTGAGTCCCTGTCTAGGAAATATGAGGCCCTAATTTCAAGCCCCAGGCCCATTAAAAATATTTTAAGATTAAAAAAATTGGTAATGTGGTCATACAGAAGACAAAATTTATGATATGGAAGGAAAAGCTAGAGATCTCCAAGAAGGGAAACTACAAAGAGATGTAGAAAATATGAGGGAAAAAATTAAGGTCATTAAATAATTGAAAATAGGATGTGTTTTGTGTTGAGAGTTTAACAATTAGGGAATAGAAAGAATGAAAAGAGAAATAACAAAAACATCTCATTTTTACATCCAAAATTTTTATATTAAGGCAAATAAGCTCCAAACATATTCTGGATTATTTTTTAATATTTGTGATTTCTAGAAATAAAAACAAAAAATCCTCCAACTTTTAAGAAATGTAAACAGATAAAAATGGGGGAAAACTTCTCACCTGAAACATAGGATATCACATGTCAATGTGTAATTTTCTGCCAAACCATAGGGAAAAGATATTTTAAACCCTGCATCTAGAAAAATTATTATCCCAAAGGAAAGGCAGAATGAAAACTTTCAGTCATGAAAAGATTCAGAAAATATCCTAGATGCTCACACTGAATTTTTATACTTAAACGATGAAAACAAAAAGTAAGAAATAGGGATGAAGGCCAAGGTAGTCCACCTGTATGTATGGTGGTATTTTTGCAATTTCCTCAATTAGTGTAAGAGGAGAGAGGGTTAAAGGAAGTCTTAGCACAAGTTCCACAGTTTGCAAGCAGCAGATGAATGTCTCCTGGAGGTCTTGAGACTCAAGAATGCTGATGTTAGATAATACACTAGGTAGAAGAGAGAACTAAGTATGAATGGAAATCAAATCCCAGTTGGTATGGGGGTCAGTGGAAAGAAGAGAGGAATAAGGGACAAGACAAGGGAGAAGTCAGGGCAGCAGAATGTGGTTGCCTGTGAGTGGTGGTGTGTCATGGCAGCAAGAGAATGGGGGATTCATATCCCGTTCTTCCTGAGAACAAGACAATGAGCACTTACTTAAAGAATAGTCATGAATGTGGTAAACTGTCTACCTCATCCAACAAGGCTGCTAATAAAGTGTTCATAATCAAAGTGACTTATTAGACCTTATGATTTTAAATGCAGTTCATCTCCAATGGGTAGCAAGATCAGGTATGGTGCTGTTGATTAGCTGATAAAAGTGTGAATTTGTTTCAATCAGAGTTGTTAGGATGAAGTAGCTGATGGTTCTTTTTCATGGCTTTAAAATGCTTTAGGATGATCGCAGGATGAGAGGACTGAAAGGTAATGAATCTAGAATTAGAGTCTTTGATAAATCTGGATGAGTATCTAAGAATGAGTAGATGACACAATGAACAGACAGAGAAAAGAGAATGATCTGAATGGCGTAAGTCCTCATGAGAAGAAAGATCTTGCATAGAAATACAAGTAGAATGACTTAAAAATAGCAATTAGCAATGAGAGTTAGGAAATTAGCCATCAGCACTTGTGAACATGAGATAGAAAAACTGAACATTCCCTTTTTTTTTTTTTAAACCAGGGCTGAGAACCGAACCCACGGCCTTGCGCGCACCAGGCGGGCGCGCTTCCGCTGGGCTAAACCCCCAGACCCTGAACATTCTCTATGTAAGCATAAATCAAGTTTGAAATAAGGAGAAAGGGTAGAAGTACATATAAAGAAGTTGCATATTTCTTTCCGAGTCTTTCCATTTCCTTATGAATGGGGAGATGTCATTCTTTCTGATGGAAGCATAGAATATATACCACATTTTCTTGATCCATTCATCTACTGAAGGGCATCTGGGTTGGTTCCATATCTTAGCTATGGTAAATAATGCAGTAATAAACATGGTTGTGCTGGTAGCTTTAGTATGGTCTTGATTGTGGTCATTGGGGTAAATGCCCAGAAGTGGGATTGCTGGGTCATAGGGGAGCTCTATGTGTAGTCTTCTGAGGAACCTATACACTGCTTTTCAGTGTTTACAAGTTTTACAAGTTTACACTGTATTTGATTTTGGTGCCCTGGGTATTGTATATATGTTTATCTGAATTAGGGAAGGGAAGGGGAACAAAAAAAGGGTGAGACAAATGAAAAAGGACAAACCAAGGCAACAGTGATACTCGCAAGATGATATGTTGGAAATGACCTGTACAACTTGGTAGCAGGGATTGGGTGGGAGGGAAAATGGGAGAAAAATGAGGGAGGGAGTAACAAGTTCGACAAGTAATGTATTCACTACCTTATATATGTAACTGTAACCCCTCTATACATTACCTTGACAATAAAATCTAAAAAAGAAGTTGCATATTCAAAGAGTGTTTGGTTTTAATGGAATTATGTATTTCAGATGCCTGATAAAGATTTTAGAAAGATGGATACAGAAACAAAGAAGTAATGTAAAAGCAAGAAAATGGGAGACAACAGGAAATCAAGATAACAGCATTCCGTAGCATGGAAGCAGATGGCAGGAATGAGAGGTGTGGAATTAACTCCACGAAAGGTTGTAATTTGCACTTGAACTTGACTTGCTATTGAGACTCCAGATATGAGTGAAACTCTTTTTCAGATTGTGTGGAGGCAACTTTAAAATCAACAGGTGATTCTCTTTTGCACTCACTCATCTTCACTTGCAGGGCTCCACAACTCTCTGCAGCTCCTCCCACGCCATTGTTGGCTATGCAGCAGTAAATGCCGTCATCGCTGTCTTCTACACTCAGGATGGTGAGGAGCTGCCCGTTCTCCCGAATGCTGTACCGGGTATCAAAGAGCCTGCAGGTCATAGAGAAAATGACAGATGAGTGCATCATCATGATTCGTTGGCTTTGACTGACCAATCAATGATTTATCAGTGAGAAATTGTTAAAAAAAAAGGAGAGAGGAAATTTGAATGAGTTCTGCATAATAATAATAATAATAATAAATGTCTTACTTGGCACATTAACATAAAACTATGTTGTATGTAATCTTTCCTGGACTCTATAATTATCAAAGCATTACCAAGTCCTACAAAAATGCTTTGGAATGGTGTGGCTGCTGCAGAGACCAAGTATGTATTCTGTTTTACTTAGGAAATTGTATCAGAACCAACTCTTCCCCCGTAATTACCGGGAGGAAGTAGCTTGAAAATGAACATTGGCATATGTATGTGATGAGAAGAAAGTAAATCATTTATAGGAGTAGCTGTTAGTTGAATGGTCATTCTCTCATTAAACCAATTCTTAATGAGTATCTAATGAGTGCCAGGCAGAGTCTGGTTACTGAGATATCAGGAGGTAAAACAGCTTCATGTTGTAAAACTGTATGATACATATATATATATAGAGAGAGAGAGAGAGAGAAAGATATAATTGCATGCAAACTTTCCATTGAGAAAGCAATTAGAGCAACAGTAAAAAATTTAAGGCAAATCATCAAGATAAAAATAAACTTTTTGTTGTTGTGCTGTTTGGAATTTATCAAGCAAGAGTTTTTTTTGCTAACAACGTTGTGTGTTAAAAAGAATGACAATACTCAAAGGTTCATTTCTTTATAGACAGAACCCATGAACATGTTACCTTCTATGACAGGAGGGATTTTGCACATTAGAAGTTGTAAAGTGGGATATTCTGGAATCAACTCATCAGTGTAAGTATAATGTAATAGTCAGGGTCTTTAAAAGATGGTCGAGGGAGGAGGAACAGTGGTGTTACAGTGGAGGCGAGGGTCAGAGAGACACAGTTACTAGCTTTAGAATGGAAGAAAAGGATAAAGGACATAGATGGATTTCTAAAAGCTGGACAAGGCATGAAATTAAAATTTCCCTTAGAACTTTCAGAGGGAACTCAGCTTGGCAAACACTTTGATTTTGACCTAGTAAGATTATTTTATACTCACAACCTTCTAAGATAATATTTACACTATACTAAGTCACTAAGTTTGTATTAATTTGTTATTGCAAAAATAGGAAATAAATACAGATTTCTGGTAACTTGGAGGGGTGCTACTGCTACCACAAGTACATGAAGGTAGAGATGTAGCTTTGTAATTGGGGAATAGGTAGAACTGGGAGAAATTCAAGGATTAAGATACTAAAAAGCTTACATTTCTTGACGAGACCATCAGTAGAATATGTATGCTAAAGAATCTGCTACTGAGGGCTCAGAAGGAAGGGAGAAGCGTGGCAGGAAAAATCTAAATCATCTTAGACAATACTTAATTATTGTAAACCGACTGTTGGTATAAATATGGATGTTAAAAACAAGCAAGCAAGCAAGGAATCCGTGCTTGAGAATTTGTAAACAGAGAGCTTAACTAAAAGTTGCTAAAAACTATTTCAAATATTTTAATTTGCTCAGCTGAGTCTTCCTATTCCAGAACTTCTGGGACATCTTGCTGATAAAGTGCTTGAAGTCTAAAAGCATAAGGCAGCTTCTCACAGCACAGGGTCATTTTCCTGCATTAGAACAAATAGCATAGAAAGAAACATGACATTTCAGTTAGAGGTTATGGATAATGAGGAGCATTTTTTTTCATCCAAGTTCAAGGACCCTGGTGCCAGTTTAAGCACTTGGTATGGACTGAAGATTTATGTCCCCCACCTCAAGTTCATGTGCTGAAACTTGATATGATAGCACTTGAGGGTTGGTGCTTAAGAACATGATCAGGTCATAAGCAGAACAGACTAATACCTCTATAAAGGAGACTGGGGAAGAATTTACTCATCTCTGGCCTCATCTGAAGAAATAATGGAATAATGGCCACCTCTAAACTAAAAGATAGACCCTCACCAGAGACTCAAGTCTGCTGACTTTTGAACTTGGACTTCTCAGCTTCTAGAATGAGAAGTAGTTTCATTATATTTATAAGTTACTCTAAGATATTTTTTCATAGTAACCTAAATGGACTAAGAGCATTCAGTCTTAATGCAAGCTACATTGCCTGATAATTGCCTGTGGTTTTTTGTTACAGACTTTTAAAAGAACATTTCTTGGGCTGGGAAGGTGGCTCAGTGGTAGAGTGCTTGCCTTGCATGCATGAGGCCCTGGGTTCGATTCCTCAGCACCATATAAGCAAAAAGAAAAAAAAAGAACATTTCTTGATCAGATAATTATTGCAGTAAGAACAAGATAGAACCTTTAGCTGCTGAATGGGAATTTCACGTTTGAGAGTGTGTCTCATTCTGTGTGGGGAGTAAAAAATGATGGTAATAGAGAGATCTGATTCCTAGAAAAAAAACTTTCTCTGTCTCTCTGTCTCTCTCTCTCTCTCTCCCTCCCTCCCTCTCTGTCTCTCTCTCTCTGCGTGTGTCTCTGTCTCTCTGTTTCTCTGTCTGTCTCTCTAGCTCTCTGTCTGTCTTTTTTTCTCTCTCTCTCTCTTTCTCTCTCTCTCTCTGTGCTGGTCTTGTGGCTTGAAATAAAGAATAGGGCACTGTCCCTACGCTCTTTTGCTCAAGGCTAGTGCTCTACCACTTAAACCACAATTATACTTCTGGCTTTTTGGTGGTTAATTGGAGATAAGAGTCTCACAGATTTCTGGGTCATAGGGGAGCTCTATGTGGAGTCTTTTGAGGAACCTCCATACTGCTTTCCAAAGTGGTTGAACAAGTTTACACTCTTACCAACAATGCAGTAGGGTTCCCTTCTGTCCACATCCCCTCCAGCATCTTAGAGTTCTTGATTATAGCCATCCTAACAGGGATGAGGTGGTATTTCAATGTTGTTTTGATTTGCATTTTTTTTGTGGCTAGGGAGGTTGAGCATTTCTCCATGTGTCTATTGGCCATCCTTCTTTCCTCTTCAGAGAATTTTCTCTGTAAGTCTTTAGTTCACTTATTTATTGGGCATTTGTTTCTTTGAGGATTTGTTGTTAGGGGATTTAATTTTTTGAGTTCAAGGTATATTTTAGATATAAGACCCTTGTCGTATGGCTATTGAAGATCTTCTCCCAATCCGTGGACTTTCTATTGATCTTGCTAGCTATATCCTTTGCCATGCAGAAGCTCTGACCCAGCAATCTCAGCATTTACCCGAATGATCACAAACAAGACCATACTAAAGCTATGAGCACAACTATATTTATTGCAGCATTATTTACCATAGCTAAGATATAAATGCCCCTCCGTAGATGAATGGATCAAGAAAATATGGTATATGTACACAATGGAATTCTATGCCTCCATCAGAAAGAATGACATCGCCCCATCTGTTAGGAAATGGAAAGACTTGGAAAAAATTATATTACGTGAAGTAAGCCAGTCCCAAAGAAACATAGGTCCCATGGTTTCCCTTATTTGCAATAACTAGTATATGTCTGAGACAAGCAGAAAGGTCAGATATGTTGATATTAGGGAAATGAACCCCAAGATAAGTATTCAAATGTTTTTCTTCCATGCGATTGTTTCTAACATATTTATTAGATATTTCTTTGTTGCTTTGTATGTCCCTCCCCCATAGTATAACCCCTGCTTTCACTGTATTTGATGTTGGTATAATTTGTGGAGAGGAAGGAAAAAAATGTTTAAATAGGGATACAGGTGGACCCATTGCAACAATGAGATGTACAAGACGTTATGTCGAAAAACGAACTTTACAACTTTGGTAGGGAGGGGGGGACGGGGGTGGGTAGATAGGAAGGGATGGGAAGGGAAAACAACAAAGGAGGCTTGCTCATGTAATTGTAATCCCTCTGTACGCTATTTTCACGATAAAAAAATAAAATAAAAAAGTTTTTTTAAAAAAAGAGTCTCACAGACTTTCCTGCACAGGCTGACTCCAGCCACTATCCTCAAATCTCAGCCTCTTGAGTAGTTAAGAAAACAGGCGTGAGCCATTGGCTTTCAGCAAGTAGGATACTGGAGGTGCCAGAGGTAAGGCTGGTCCCATTAACCTGGAGTATCCTGGAACATGTGCTTGGAGATGTGTGAGAGCCTGGTGTCTCATAGTTACTTGAAGCGTCTTCCAGGCTATGGCAACATTTTCTTCACGTCAGGTAAATCACTGTTTTTCTTTGAGAAATTCTCCTAACTTACTGAACTTCAGATCTTACATTTATACAACGGAGAAACTTACACTGATGTATTTTGGAAGCTGAACTTTAATATAATGGAAACTGCTGTTGCATTTATGTCAAAGATAACATGTCACGCAGCAGGGACAGTCTTACTAAAATAAAGTACAATACTTACTTAATGAGGATTTTATTTCTGGTCCAAGAAATTTCAGGCTGGGGATAGGATTCCACTGCACACATGAAAGTAGCCACTTCTTCAACTAAGGCATCCACTGTTTCCAGAGGGGTGGTAATAACTGGTGCTGAAAGGTAAGGAGACATCAGAGAACATTCCAGAATGTTATTTGTTAACCTGTCCTTAGGCATTCAGAAGCCATCACATAGCTGAATGAGAGTTGTATTCCCCCAGAGCAAAATTTTCCAAAAGTAAAGATTTTATGTAGAGAATTATGTGCATCTCTACTTCCATATGAGTTATTTGATAATCCAAAGAGAGGCTTTCAGGAGAGAGAGGTATAAACTTTATTATCTATAAATAGGAGCAGATCCAAGATCTTGTGATGCCTAGTGTTATATAATTTAAGTGCTTCTTTAAAGAAAAGAGTATAAAGATTTCTACATCCACCTCAATACTAATCAATATGAATATAAATGAGTCTGAAAGAAGCCAGAGTAGAAATTGACAGTAGCCCAAATGTAAAATAAAGAGCAAAGAACCCAAATAGGCATCTCTCCAAAGAGAATATACAGAAGGCCAATAAATGAAAAGAAGTTCAACATCATGCATCAATAAGGAAATGAAAATCAAAACCACAGGATACCACTTTCCACCCAGTAGGATGGCTATAAAGAAAAGTAAAAAATGTTGCTAAGAACTTGAGAGAGATTGGAAATGGCCAGGGTGGGGAAGAATGGTATGACTACTGTGGAAAAGATTCTATTGTTTCTTCCAAAAAAAAGAGAAAGAGGTCAATCTGACTAAAGGATAATTGTGTCTGTGTTTGTGTGCACGTACACAGAACTACATTAAAACTCCATTCTACAGTTAATATGCACTAAGTTTGTATATGATCTAAGGCAAATAAATAAAATTATACAAGATCTGAGTCCTATAGTTCCTAATTCCTATCCTTTATTAGCTAACTTACCTGGGGTTAGTGAGTACTATATAGTTTTTGATACACAGGACATTATTTTCCATATTCCAATGTACTCTGGGTCCCAAGAGCTATTTGCCTTCAAATGGGAGGACCCAGAGAGGCATTAAAAAGATCTCTCTGTGATTTTGGAAAAAATCTTGAGCAAAGGCTTTAGAAAACTAAGACTGGAAAAAAAATGGAACTGGAACCTTGCTACAATATATAAACGATGTACTGATTACAAGCCCTTCTAAGGAGGTCTCAGATAAATAACTAACCAGTAAAGATTTTCCTGGTTTTGGCAGAAGAGCGCTATCAGGTCTCCAAGGAAAATACATAAGCATCTAAAGAAATGGTGAAATATTAGGTTTGATAATCTACCACGGACAGTATACTCTCCCCACTGCCCCTGAAAGAAAATTAGCCATTTATGAGCTAGTTCCTTACCTCATATCCCCCTTCCTCCTAAAAAAATGAGGAAGCCATTGTGGGGGATTCCAGTATAAGAGATATTTCTGCTGCAATGACCTTGCAAGGACAAAAATGGGATGGGCAATGCAATCGAGCCTTTAATAAGCTCAAGAGGCTTGTAATGGATGTCCCTACATTAGGTGTGTTTATTGATGTAGTTGTGCAGGAAAGGCAAGGTCACAGCCAGTGTATTGACACAGATGCTGGGTTCCTTAAGAAGGGCACTGGCTTACTCTCTAGACAATCAGATACTATGTTTAAGGCCTGATCCTTAATCTTGCCTGTTAAAGAGGCAGAAAAAGTAACCAGGGAGCAGCTACTGACATTGTGGATTCCACATCAGATCCAAAAGGCCATCATTGGTTGGCAAGTGGTCAAATATTACCTGTTACCATACCATGCTTAGCTGCTAGATATCCTCCTGCAATTCCAAGCCATCATCTGACACTAAACATTTAAGTTGGCCACTCTGTTTCCTATATGACAAGAGACTTTAGTCCATGTAACAGACCAGGTATACTCAAGAGGGAAGACTTCTAGAGTGAGCCCTTGCAGGTGCTTTCAAAGCATGGAGCGCTGTATATTAATTGATTCTGTCATTTAGAAACAGAACTCAGACTCTGTTATTGTACCCTGGTCTGTGGGTTACATTCAAATTTGCTGTTACTATCTTCCCTTAGAATCTATCCCAAATAAGTAATTTCACATACAGTAGACACATAGATGACTTTCACTGCACTAAACAAATTAATTGTGCTAAATTGTACTTGTTGTAATAAAAATAAAGGGAAAGCTAGGTACTATGTCTGTTGGAATAGTCTTGTACTGACCTACAAAAGACAGTTGTTCACTTTTTGTGAATGCTGTGAAATAATTAAATATAGATATTATGAAAGCCAAATTATATAAATTTATTAGTAAATAAGTTATCTTAAAAACTAAGTCAGGCATGGTGGCACATGTCTGTAATCTCAGGTACTCAGAGACAGGAGGGTCACAAGTCAGCAAAGGAAGTGGCAAGACCCTGTCTCACAATAAAAATAAGGCTGAGGTAAGGCAGAATTGTTAAGAGTACTTGCCTAGCAGGCGCAAGGTCCTGAATCAATCCCCAGCACTATAAAATAAAAACAAAAACTACAACTAAGAATTCTCAAAATGTATCAATTCCTGTTTAACTGTAGTATGTTATTATCTATGTTCTTAAGGTCATTTTCATCAAATATATCTGTATGATAGCACAGTACATAAAGGACGGTCTACAGGAGCTACTTCCCAATTCAGTCTTCAGTATTTGTTGTAACTTGACATTGCTGTAGTTAATGGTTTGGAGTATTTATACTGCAGAAATCAAGAAGTATAACAAATAGGGGTCTTTTTTCTCAGAGAAGTAGCCATTCCATATATATCAGTGAAATGTTACCTAGCAAGACATTATCCAAACACTGCAATTAATGTTTTAAAGAAAATTAATTGATAAAGAATATGCTTATGTGCTAGGTAAAAATGGCAGAACTCAGAATCATAGAAACAATATTATTATCCCACTTCTCTGATGGATATATATATATAATAGAGAACTTTGTTTTATATTTGTGTGTATGTTTTTAAAATAAATGTGTTTTCCCCCCATGATATTAAGGAATTGAATTCAGGGCCTTGGGCCTGCCAAGCAAGTGCTTTATCACTTGAGCTATGCAATCAGTCTTTGTAGTCATTTTGTTTTGGAGGTTAGTGCTTGCTACCTACGACTGCCCTGGCCTTAATCTCACAATCCCCTGCATACCTGGAATTACAGGCACGTAGCATCACACCCAGCTTTCAAAATAAATTTTAAATATCGTCTATGACTGTTATAAAAAATAAACGTTAGCTAGATGCTGGTGGCTCATACCTATTCCTAGTTATTCAAGAGGCTGCAATCTGAGGATCGGGGTTTGAAGTTTGCCCAGGCAGGAAATTCTGTGAGATTCTTTATTTCCAAATAACCACCAACAATCCAGAAATGGAGTTGTGGCTCTAGTGGTAGAGTACTAACCTTGAGCAAAAAAAAGCTCAGGGACAGCACCCAGGCCCTAAATTCAAGCCCCAGGACAAGCACCAAAACAACAACAACAAAACTAATAGTTAAATCACTTATATAAAGTACAAAGCAATAGAATGAACTTCAGTGTTCAGGTTGACTTAAAATTCCTATCTCATAATTCTAAAATAGATTGTACTATGCCATAGTGGTTGCCCACAGGTAACCATTTCTATTATACCATTATTTTTACAGGCAGAATATAATTAGTTAAATCTGCTTTGCCCATATTCTGAAATTATCCAAATTTGCTATCAAAATTTATCTGGCACAATCGTATAGTTGCATTTAGTGGCATTTGTGGAGGTAGCAAATGTTTCCATTCATGCTGATACCGAGCTTTTATCACAGCTGGGGTCTGTGTAAAGTAGGAGGCTCTTTCCCTCTCATTCCGAGGACAATATTGAGAACAAACACGAATATGAACACTTTGGTAGACCTCAAGCGACTTGAACTGGATGACTTGGACACAGTATGATACTTCCTTGACACTGCCAACATCTGATTGAAGAGCTGCTGCTGGACATGTCAGAACAATTTACTACACCAAAAAGCCAGTGTATTTGCTCGCTTCTGTTTCATGAAATTAGAGCTGAGACCTTGGAAAAGATTCATGCTTCTCAACATCCTGAAAGTGTGTGTGTGTGTGTGTGTGTGTGTATGTATGTGTGTGTGTATGTATGTGTGTGTGTGTGTGTGTGTGTGTGTGTGTGTGTGTGTGGCGCGCGCGCGCCAGTACTGGGGCTTGACTCAGAGCCTGGTTGCTGATCTTTAGCTTTTTTGCTCAAGGCTGGCACTCTACCACTTGAGCTACACCTCCATGTCCAGATACTTTTTCTGGTTAATTGGACATAAGAGCCTTGTGGACTTTTCTGCCCAGGTTGGCTTTGAACTTTCATCTTGAAACTGGAACTTTCATTTCAGCCTTCTGAGTAGCTAGGCTTATAGGTATGAGCCACCATTGCATGGTTAGCTTTTTTGTTTTTTCTTTTCAGTATAAGAAAACACTAGTTCTAGGACTATTTCAGATTCCCCAAAGAGAATATTAGATACTGACATATCTTCCGAGAAGATGTAATAAAGTGAAAGTTATTTTTATTGTATTAAATTGTAACTCATAAGGTTTTTGATTAAAAAAATAATTATTAATGCCATGTTATTAATTCTAGCTTCTCCTTCTGGGGATGGCATTAGGCACAGGCAGTTCTGCCCAGCCTGTTAGGATTTCTGAAATTGCCTTTGGTGGGGTTAATCCACGGTCTCATGAGGATCCATTTAAAACAGGCTTACACATTATCCAGGGGTGGTTATTAGTTACCAATAATCTTAGCATGAAACCTCATTATGGTAGCTCTTCTTCATTTTAAGAGGAAAGTAAGTCTTACAGTGTCTGTATGCTTTCCCTAAAGAACATCAGAAAGGAGTTGGGGAGCAAGAAAAGGAAACCTGATCTCAACATTCTCGTCCAAGCTTTAAGCGTCCTTGTTCCTTGTTCTGCTATTTAACCTCTACTTCACAGTTTTGTTATATAACCATAATCAATTTGCCCTGTAGGTATTAATAGCTGCACTGACCTGGGAAAGCACCAATCCTGAATTAATTTGTTTGTCCTCGCTATCATTATATACTTACGCATTATTGGACAGGGGCACTGTAAAGTTTCGGTCTCCAGCCCTAACTGGATTTTCCATTAGGCCTGGGAAATCCTTGCCATCTTTCCTGAATGCACTCCTTATTTCCGGTTCCTTCACTGACACTCTCCCCCAATGACCTCAGGTCCTGTTTCACTGAGGAGTTACCCACTTCACCATTGGAAATAAGGTCGAGAGGAAAGAAATCCTAACATTTCTTCTCTTCCTTTCTTTTCTTTAAGGTTGGTAATACTCAAAGCAACTGTGTTTCCCTAAACCCACAATGAGTAACTCTTACAACACACGTCCTTGTAAAACCATTTATCCAGAACTTGCTGTCCTGGATTTATTTCACTGGCAGCTGTGTCCTGTACTGACTCAGTCATATGTCAAATCTGTGAATTCTATCCCTGGGTGCATATGATTTAAAAGGGAAGGTTACTCCAATATATCTAAAGATAAATCACTTAGACACTATATAAATTGGATTCTCTATACGGTAGTAAATGGGGTCATTGGATTTTGACAGGAGATCCTTTTGCATATTATACAAATTCAGCTGCATGAACTCCATGTTCTGTAGAATTTTATAACCTACCGTATGCTTCATACTCCTGATTCAGCAGTAAATGTTAAAAGTGTGTAGTTGAGGCATATAGCCAATACAGCTCTGGCTACTTTCTTACATGACAGTTTATAAAATTATCCTTCTTGTGGTTATGAAATGGGCTCATTATTAAAAGTCTCACTAGTTGAAATGATTCAGAAAGATACTGAGTGTCCTCGTTGTCTTTAACTATTAGGAGCCTCAGTTAAATTAAAATGAAGCCAATAAACTATTAATTCTATAAAGCTGGATATTGATTTAATTAAGGAAATGAGAAGCAAAGAATTAGAAAAGAATCTTCTGAATATTTTTCCAAGCCTTAAATGTCCTTGTTTAAAATATATTCATTTAAGATACATTTATTATGTCATATGCTGTCACGCAGATACCTTGATTTCAATCACGATAAAGTACTTAAGAAAAAGGAAGTCATGTTAAAAACTCTTTTTGTTATTACATTTGGCAAACAGAAAATGACTATGAGAATTTAGATGGAGAATTCACCCTTATTTTGATAGTATCCACATGGTTCTTTTCAACCAACATATTCCAAACATTTCAGTGCTTAAAATTTTAGATTGTTTTCATGCTGTTATTTGTTTCCAGAACTCTTCTGTTTATTAAATGGGTATTTGTTCTTCTAGGTGTGGTGTTTCAGATGAAAGTTATTATTAAACCCACACTGATTTAGATTTTACAATAAACAAAGCAGACTGAGAAAAAATTGTTTTAAATTTGAAACCCTAATTACAGCAGCAAATAAGTGATAGGAAACAAAGTTGATTTAATAGTCTGGTTATTTTATTTAAAAGCCAAGATACTTGGCATTTTTATCTTAATGTCACTATTTTGAAACTTTCAAAATAGAAATAGTGTTGCATTTCAGATAGGACTATTGTATAATTTAGGGACTGAAAGCATTTCTTTCTAGAATATAAATTAGGAGTTATTTCTACAGAGACATTTGGGGACTTTGTTTCATACACCAAATTCTCATTTGGACTATCAAAATCTATTGTTCTGCTCCTTACCAAACTGGATTTTAGTAGCTTTTCATCTTTCGCCATGGCTCTTTTATGTATGGACATGGTATAGAAAGACACAGATGAGACTTACTACAATCCACAGTTCAGAAACATTCAGGGGCTGCCGTAGCGGACATCCGCTGTATGATCAGGAAGTACTAACATAATCTGAAACCAATGTTAAGTCTTTCTGGCTATTATTAGCTGGTGGAAAAGATCTAGATTCTCTTTTATCTGAAGTATCTGTTGGAAAGTGTTTTAATACATCTGAGGATACCCTTCTGCTCAAGTAAAATGAAAACAGAAAAGCAAAAACAAGACAAAAAAATCTATATACTGAGATTGGGAAAAAGTCACACCTTATTTGCATGTGAACTTTGACATTATGACTCAAAAATGTTGAGTCACAAAATCTAAAGATAACATTACCCATCTATTTACAAAGAAATGTTACCTTTGCTTACTACCCCATACAAACTTTTCAGTACTTCTCTAAAATAAGATAAGGACAAATAGTCTGGATGTGTCCTAAAACACCAAACCCCTTTCACTCCATTTTGATTCATTTCATTAAATGATACCATTCAGGCTGCTTTCTCATGACTTCATTAAAAAACAGATTTCTATGAAGTCCTCAGTCACTTTACAAATCACAGACTTTCCACTCTTCCTGACTTGACACACATTGGTTTTTGAAATACCCTAGCCAGAAACCATATCGCCGTGGACATTCTTGCTACTGCAACAGGTGTTTGTCAGTTTCTTAAGTTGCTTTCCTTTCCCCTGAGGTGGTGTTATTTCCGGTACATTCCAAAGGCTCTGAGAAAAAACTTCTGCACTCTTGCCAAGCCAAATCACAACGCCAGCCTCAAAGTTATTGACAACACATTGTCTTTCAGCCTCAAAGTTATTGACAACACATTATCTTTAAGCTTTCATTGCATTGGTGTCTTGTGGACATCTTTCTCTCTTTCTGATTTTTGGTAACTAAATATTCGTGTAGCGTTTGGTAAAACTGAAACCAAAAAGTAATGACTTTTGTTCAGATATCTGGAGTTGGAGTGGGTTTTACACCTGGCATACTTGGTGTCATACATTTTCACCATCCACTTAGACCACCTTCAGATCAGAAATACACATAAAACAGACTTGGATAACTAGCACTAACCCACTAACATCTCTTCTAGAAGAGAGAACTCTATGTACAGCAAGGCTCAGCTTATTTGTAAGTTTTGTAGAACTTAAGAGGGAAATATTGACAGAGAAGAGCTCATCCACCAACTACTTATACAGATACATTCCCCTTTATTTTATACTTCACCTCTATCGCACCAGGTAAAACCTGTCTACCATACTGTGAATCAGTTGTCATGAAACACACACACACACACACACACACAAAACTTAGGACCAAAAGAAGATCATAAGGAGAGAAGATCCCTCAGACTAACCTTTTGGAAGTTTCTCAGTCCCACTGAAGGCAACCAGAGTGAGAATCTGTACCAGTGGAATGTGGACGAGCTCTCTCATGATTAATCCAGACTCACACAGGAGAAAGTTGGTTCTAGATGGGGAAAACGCCCCACAGTTTACATTTTAAAGCATAGTTGTTACAGTAGGTCCATCTGCTAATGACTGTTCGTGTCAGCAGCTCCACAGGCTCTAAGTATAATCAGGAATTCTCAGACTTGGCTGGAATGATGGACACAGCCAGCTGGTGAGGATCCACTTAGGCTAGTAATGCAAGTGCAGGGCTGGAGGAACAAGGGAAAGAAAATCCCTTCAGAATCCTTTTTAAGACAGTGGCAGAAGGACAATACCAGATGCCTTATGCAACGAATGCTCTATTCCCTGAGGTACAGATTTCCTGACCTTTTGATTGAAGCCCACCACTCTCTAGCTCTCAAAAAATAATGTGAATCTGCCCCGTTTGGACTCTTCTCCATCACTTGGATTCACCATTCCAATCCCTACAGAGTTTAACAACTAAATAGCCCTTGAGTTTATCACTCCTTATCCTCACGCTCATAGCATGCCACCCAACTTCTTTCTCAACATTTCTCGAGATCACAGTCATAATCTCCTATATCTTCTCCAGGACTGTGTCTTGTGATCCTCTACTCTCTGCTTAACAGCCTCAGTGGCTTCTCATCGCGTACAAATATCTGCCATTCTCTTTGATATGACATAGAAGGTCTCAGTAGAGTCTGTCCTTCTGGTTAACCTCATCGTTTACAATCCATGCTGCCATTTATAATAGTTAATGCCCTGCTGGTGGTACTCAGCCCTCACACTAGCCTAATTGACTGGAAGGCATGCATCATCTCACACTAACAGTGGGTGGCAGATGGTGCTGAACTGTTGTTCATGAATGCTCAAACCATAGTGATCAAAAGCAGTGTCACATCTCTTCCACTTTAAAAATAATCTAAAATGTCATTCAGGCTCAAGATATAAAAAGGAAAAAATCATAAAAATCTCAGCCAGATACCAGTGGCTCGCACCTGTAATCTTAGCTACTTGGGAGGCTGAACATGGGAGGATTGCAGGTTGAGACTAGCTCAGGCAGAAAAGTTCAAACTTTTCTTTTTAACACACAGGTGGCTAGAGTGGTACATGCTTGTCATCCCAAGCTTTGCCGGAAGCTGAGATCTGAAGGATCAGGGTGTCAGGTTAGCCTCGACAGAGATGTCTGTGGATTCTCTCTTCATGGAAGGAAGCTAGATGTAGTGGCATATGCCTGACATCTGAGCAATTATGGGAAGCCTAGAGTGAACAATATGGTTCAAAGACTGTATTTGTCAGTTCTTCATCACTGTAATGAAATACCCAAGACAAGTTATTTTATAAAGAAAAGAGGTTTTATTAAGCTCATAGTTTTGGAGGTTTGAGGGCCTGGTATCTGCTCAATTGGGCTGATAACCTTCTTGCATGAAGAGTCCCAAGATATCATATAGCAAGAGACTGAGGTGATAAATAGGTCTATTTGTTTGTCTATTCCTTTCTACTTATGAAACCACCCAGATACCATAATGGAGGCTGCATTCTAATGGTTTTCTTTAATCCTAATCAGTTCCTAAAGGTGTCACCTCTGGACACCACAGTTGGATTATATTTCCACTTTCTTAATATCGTTACATATGCTTTTGGGGATTAAACTCCTGCATGAGTTTAATCCTGTGTGACCATGCATATTGTGTGTGTCTCAGTAAGAACTTCACTTAAATAGCAATGAAAGCAATGCAATTGGAAACATCAAAATGACTAATAAAATCTAAAAGGAAAGTATATAAGGCAAGGAATTACTAGAGTTAGCCATTAAAACATCCCAACTGTTAAAAGCTAGCATAACAATACTCTCTTTCACACACATATACACACAAAAAAGGTAAAAGGCAAAGTCTAGGAAAATTTAAAACAAGCATTCTAGAGAGTAGGAGAACATATTGTTAAGGTTGTCAGCTATAAGTTTATACTGCTAGTCAGATAACTGGATGTCATCCTTTTTTCTCCAAAACTTCTTATGATAGTTGGTGAATAGGTTTATTAAGGGGGTTGAAGGAAGTTGATTTCATTTCTTAGTAACATGCTAGCCTAAGGAACCAGTGCTCCAGAAGAGAAAGACAATGAAATGTGGTATTAGAAGCAAAGCAGATGTACCAAAAACAAAGGTAGTAAACAAGTGATAACCTTGACAGAAACCAGAACAGTGGGATCAAGGCCTATTAATGGCTCAGAGACGTGGGCAAGCTTAACCAGCTTAGGAGTTTCCCTGGGAAGACAGCCTACAGTCTGGGGCCATTTTGAAAGCACATAAGTGAAAACACATTGGAAACCCCTGATGCTATCCAAGGGAGATTACATAGTTACAAGCATGTAGTTGCGAGGAAAGTTGTGGAAAGGGATATCAAAAGGATGTGTGTGTGTGTGTGTGTGTGTGTGTGTGTGTGTGTGTGAAACCAAGACAAATGCTAGATTTACAACTTCAAGTCAATATAAGGTAGTTTATTTACATGTTAGCAGGAACTCCCAGAAGATAAAATGGCCTATTGAAGTGGGTCAATTTGTATTCTATATATCTCAGGCTGAGGGTCCCAGAAAGAAGGAAATGGTCATCTTAAATAGAATTAGCCAATACACACAGGTGGAAGCTGTCAAGGAATGACAAACATTGGTGTAGAGTCTAAGAGATATTAAGGATTGCTCTTCAGTACCTCTAGATCTTCAAGTAGAAGGAACAGAAAAACCTATTATTGGAAGGAGGCAGAGGCAGCCAGGTGAGCAGGTTCCTAATAGGAGATAAGGCTTTTGGTTGGGTGATTCAGCCTATAGGGATGGCTTGGATTTCCAGCAAATTTCTTATCAATGGCCCAATACAACCTAGCAGGAAATGAGCCACCAACAAAGCCCCCTGATAGAGTTCACAGAGGTGAATTTCCATAGGCACAAGATCAGCAAGGAAGGCTGTAGAAGATCTGAAGAACAAATTTCAGGGTTATTTTAAGGAATCGTAGCCTTTTTTTGGAGCACACATGCTAAATAAGAGTATTCTCATTTGTTGTCACAATTATTCTGTCATACCTTCATTCACCTCTCAAAGACTGACTACATTGTCTTTCCGTTATCCTAACTCTGCTTTACATGACATCTTTAGTACACTAATGTAATGTAGGAGGTTTCCAGACTACCAAACAAAACTATTCCCTGAGGATTGTGGTTCACATTTCTGAATCAGTCTGAAAACCCTGTGGAAAATTCGAAAATGGCTACATTTTCGAACCCTAAGGTTCTTACATCTGGCTTAATAGCAAGTAAAGAAGAAAGCTAAAATTCTCTGCTGCTGCCATAACTGGCTTTACCTGTCGACTCAGTCTACCACCAAGGGCTACTTAGACACTCAGTACTGCTCTGGTGGAAGTTTTAAGCAACTTAAAAATGGTAACAACTACAAATATCATGCTATGTTTGTGCATAGTCATACAAGCATCTTTCAAGAAAGACACTGTCCTTGATAGTAAACTCTTTGAAATTTGGTTGTTGAAGCTCAGTGAAATGTCTGTGCAGGGATTTTGAATGCAGAACAAATACCACAAAGAAGAGGAGAGGGAGGGAGCCTTTCAGCAGTGGCGGCATCAAGTATCCATTGGCAGTCATGCCAGAGCAGCGTGTAATCATGGCAGCGCCTTCAGCATTATCCAGCGTCCAGCCCAGTGTCCTGCCACAGAGCTGTGTCACCGACCAGGTTTCTCTGCTCACATCATGGCCGTAATTCTAACACCCAACTGTTCCCCATTCCTGCCTGGCTCTCCAAGATGTCCCCAGATTCATTCAGCTACCTGATCAAACGGTTATCCTGTGATCTGTTATCTTTCTCATAAATTCGTTTTTCTCCTAAGTGAACCAGAGTCATTCTCTGTTCATGGCAACAATACATGTCTATCTTGGAGTCAAGATAAGTGAGGCTCTCGAGGATTAATAAGTGTGCCATTCTTTTTACAACTAAGTGATGGAGGTAGATTTCTAAGGCAGATGTGTTTGACTTCTGAGGTTAGTTTTCTCTAAACCACTGCACTATATTACTTAAATACACTTCATATTGTGCTGGATATTACAGTGGTTTACTTAGGGATTTGACTACTCAAAGTATATGGCCATTTTATCATCTCAGTAAATATAGTTTTTCAAGGATTTGGGGAGGAGACTATGGATAGCAAGTGCTATTTAAAGATCAAATTAGACAGGACTATCTTTGGGTGATTTCCCCAATTGTAGTTTATGAATTAGTGTAATCAGTCTTGGCAAGCAGCCAGTCAGACTTAGATGAAGATGCAGCATTCATGTCTAATGATGAGGTCAGTAAGGGTTCTACTAGGACTGTGGCCTAAGAAGCCTAGGAAGGTAGGAAGTAGGTAAAGACAACTCTTCCTCTCTTGGACCCAGTGTAACTTCATCAATAGATGTAGCTCAGTGCTCTTGAACATCTAGGAAATCAGACATTGGCACAGGGCTTTCATCCAAGCTACTTCTCCCAACTATTTCCTGATGTCTAGTGAAAAAAAACCCAGAACCTGTTGCCTTCAAATATAACCTCACTTTGTGAATAGTCCAATCATACGTGGAAAGAAAAGAGGCAACAATGTCTTAGGGCAGTAGCTACAGCACCATCCTCTTTTGACCTGAAGATTTCACCATTGAATCACTATCATTTGTGTTTGTTCATTGCATTCATCATCTACAGGATTGTAGATGGAAAATTCTTTCACTGAGTTTTATGTCCTAATTTTATGTCATCAGTGTTGCTCATGAAGTTTTTGGATGCCTAGCTAGCTTGGATGCCTAGATGTTGGGCAAGTGGGCAACCTCTGAACCTATGAAAAGTTCTTGGAGTTCCTTTGTTGTTGTTGTTGTTTACATTATCAGAAAAAAATAATGTTTCCTCTTCCTCTTAGACCTCTGTTTTGTGTGAAACTTACATGCAATTTTTCTAGTCTGTTTTTCTTTCTGGGGATATTAGGGTTTGAATTCAGAATCTCATACTTTTTGCTTGCTTGGTTTGATTGCTCAGTTAGTACACTACCCCCTAAACCATACCTTCAACTCAGCTTTTGATGGTTATTTGGAGATGTCATAAACTTTTTTGCTTGGGCTGGCTTGAACTTTGATACC